GGGGTGTGTGTGTGTGTGTGTGTGTGTGTGTGTGTGTGTGTGAGAAATTAAATTCAGTGAGATCTCACAGGCATGCTTTGCAGAGGGAGCTCTGTGGGCCTGGCCCATAGACCCAACAGTGATACCTACCTAGGGTTTGAATTCTCTGGAGCAAGAGGAGCATTTTCCTTCTTTGTGTTCTGTAGTTTCAGAAACCCAGTGGTGGGTCAGCTCTGAGTCAATCTTGAACCCCACAGCAGTGAGAAGAAGATGGATTTTCTTTGGATTTGAGTGTGAACTTTGCTTGATTGGATCACTGTATACAGTGGGCTCCAGCATCCTGGTTTCCCAACGTGCCACTTTGTGTCTCTGTCACTCCCCATCCCTTCTGCCAACAGCCGCCACCTTCAGAGCCGGGATGTGATGTTCCTGAACTCTTTTATGGATCAGGTCTTATTAGGGCTGAGGGTCTAAAGGGGAGGTGCTTGCCTCAGGAGTGCCAGAAGCTCTGATGGTGCTTTCACACATGACTCTGGCAGCCTCTCCAGACATTTCTGGGTAATAGCCCCTTTCTAGATGAAAAAAAAGTACAAATTTAGTTAAATCCTCACCCAGAGGTCACTTGCCTGCCAAGAACCAAAATGCAGCTTTTTGTTTTGTTTTGTTTTTTCCCCTTTTGGAGCCAAAACAGGTTCTGGGTGTTCTGAGCTAAGGGTCCTTTTGAATGGGTTAAGAGACTTAAAGACAAAGATTTCAATATGTCCTTTGGCTTACTGTTAAGTGTAATATGTGTTGTTGTTGTTGTTGTTGTTTTTCTTGCATGCTATTGTGTCAGAACCAACTAATAACGACCCCAGCGGGTTTCCAGAGGCAGTAAATTGTGTGGCATGAGATTGCCCATCTTTGTCCTATCGAGCAGCTGGTGGATTCAAATTGTGTGCTTTTGGGTTGGCAACACAAAATTTAACACACGCTCCTTCCCACTAAATTGCTTGTGAATAATTTCTCTTAAAATGAGAAGATGTCTTTCTTTCTTTTTTCATTTTTTAAAAAAAATTATTTAGTTGTATTTAAGATTCTGTACAACTAGACACCAGTTCTTCAGTTTCTACACGTTTTGTCAACACTGACTGCTTTATAGGAATAGGGCAACCACCTCCTGCTCCTCCTCTGAGCTGCCCGCCCCAACAAATGTCAACTCCCTGCCCCCCAATATTTCCATCTCACTTTTCTAGTCATTATTGTCAATTTGATCATGTATCGCTTTAGCTTAACAAACAAAGGAAAACTGTTGGTGAGTGCGAATGACTAATTTTGATCTTGTTCTCTTGGCCAGCTCGAACCGGGCGCTCATCAACGTCTGGATCCCGTCGGTGTTTCTCAGGGGCAAGGCAGCCAACGCGTTCCACGTCTACCAGGTAAGCTCTGTCCTCAGTCAGCTCCCTGGCTGCCTGGTGGAACTGACCGAAGGTGCTTCGCCACTTGATGATGTACAGGGGAGGCCAAGATCCTCCAAACACGAGCACTTGAGCTCCCCAGCCACCCCAAGAGGCCTGTGGCCAGCAGTGGGCAGGCAGAAGACAGCCAGGAGGAGTGTCCTCCAAAGGAAACCTCCTGTGCAGCCAGAATAGAGTGAACGTTGTTTGCCTGAGGAGAAGCAGCAGAGGTTAAGGGTCATAGCTTGAATGCTGCCTAGTCTGGCCTCAGTGTGACTGCCCCCAGAAGTGAAGCACCAGGGTCTGGCAGCTACCTGACTGCTCCCTTCCTCATGTGACCATCTTCTTTTCCATCTTCCTTATCATCCTGTTTACTATTTCCAGCTACTTCTTCAGCAGAGTTGTATCTCATCTCCCACCGATCTGCACTAGTCCCTGAGCCCATCCCTAAATCCCAGGGCGAGGGTGCAAAGGGTGAGGCAGTGGACTTCTGTGGTTGACCTTGAGTTTGAATCTACCACTGATTCTGGGAATCATACATCTGAGAATGAGAAGAAACAACTCCCCGAATGAAAACAGGCTACTCTTTTAAAAACCAGGCCAGTGAATGCTTGACAAGCACACACTGAGGCGTCTCCTCTCCTACCAGAGGGGAGAGGTGATGTCTTTGTTATTGTCGATGATGAGATGAAGTTGAACTACTAACAGGCGTACCACACATGACAGGCTCTAAAAACCAAATTTATTCTCCCACAGTTTAGCATGCAGAAGTCCGAATTCAGGACACCAACTCTAAGGATTAAAGGCTTTCTCTCGCTCTCTCAACCTTAAAGGAAGACCTTCACCTCTTCCCTTAACGATCTTTGTGTGTCTTCTCATCTCTTCCCCATCTCTGTTCTCTTACTTGTTTGTTTAGTCTTTTTGATCTCTCAAAAGAGAATAAAGCAAAACATGCCCCAATAGTGGGCTTGCTGGGTCAAATGGTATTTCTGATTCCAACTTCTTTCCACAGTCCCACCCTTAGTGTTTGGGAGTTCCAGTTCCTCCACACCCTCATCATCATAGCATTGTTTTCTGTCTTACTGAACTTTGCTATCGTTGTCAAGGAGAGGTAGCCCATTGTTTTGATTTTCATTTCTCTAGTAGATAATATGAGCCATAGTCAAGTCGAGGGCATCTAACAGCAACGACAGCAGCTAATAGAGAATTCTGACTGGTAGCCCAGGCTGTAGGAAGTTGTACTGTTAAACCAAAGGGTGCACCTCTCTGGTAGTTCCAAACCACCAGTACTTCCCCAGGAGAAAAATGTGAAAAACATGATTTACAGCCTCAAAAATCCAGTGGAAGGTCATCTGTGAGTCTATTCCATCTTTTAATGGCCGAGTTCTGGATCGTTTTGAGTAACTGATGATCTTGAACATTTTTCTTCATGTCTTGATTGACCATCTGAATGTCTTATTTGTTAAAGTGTCTTTTAACACGTTCTACACTGATCCAATAAAATAATAAAGAAAACCTATTTCACAATGGGGTTATAAGTACTCTGGGGGGGTGAGTAATTACAGCACATATTCTGGAGGGACATAATTCACTTCATAATAGAAAACCATGACTGGTTGGAGTCGGGTATCTAGGACTGTGTGAGACTTTTGTCTCCTTTGGAGGTGATTTCTCTCTATGAGTGGGGTCTAGTTCCTGTCATATCTCTAATCTGGTGCCTCTTTGAGCCCTGCTGACTTTCTCTCTTTGTGTTTCTTTCTTCTTATTATGGATCCTGATGTCCAGCCCTTAGCAGCCACCAATGGAAGGGACTATTTTTTTTTTTTTTGTTTCTTTAAATTTAAATAAAATTTTTGCTTCATACTGGTATACTTATAAAGTTCCTACACATTGTTTTTCACACTGGATCTTTCCCATTTCCTTTACCCACCCCTCCCTCCACCTATCAAATTGTGTGACTCTATGATTAACCATGCCCCGATCCTCACCCCTCTTCTCTCCCCCTTACATCCTCATACATGTTCTACCTTAATGGTCTTATACCATATTTGTCCTTATGGAACTGAGTTAGTTCATTCAGCATAATCCTCTCGAGTCCCTCCCAAGTTAGGTAGTAATTTACAAAATCATTGCTTGAAGGGGCTATTTTGTTGTCCACACGGACTTCTAGCTGCTTTCTGGTCCTACTACCTTCTTGCATCACAATAATTTTCAGTAGATTTTGTTCCAAATTCCTATAAGCTCTCTGAACAGTCTTGAGTTTTGTGGCCATCTTTCTTAGTGGGAAATTGACTCACAGAAGAAGTCCTCTCTGCTATTAAGATAGTTTCTCTATGATTGAGCAGGAAACGAGGGGAGTGAACTTGGAAATGAAGCCCTCATTTAAATCCAGTGACTTGAAGGGGGGGAAAAATCTGTAAATTGTTTTGCAGAGTTGATGTTGGGGTTGGAAATATACGACATGCAGTTGGTATTGTGTTCATTTCTTGCCTTCCAAAATTATCACAGAATTTGGCCTTCGGTGGCAGGCCCTGGTGACGCTCATGTGTTTAATGGCAATGGATATCGGCGTGTGCACATACATCCCTAATTCTTCCAGACAGAGGAGCAGCAGCTCCTGTACCGGAAAGTCACTTTGGCTTATCTGTCCAGCTGGGCAACATAACATTTCGATAAATGATAGGAGCATCTGAGTGTGCCTGATGCTTTCAGCTCTCCTTTAAAAAGAGAACTAGAGATGGCGTTTTGAATATTCTCCTTTTTTATCTTCTCTTTTAACCCTGAACTGGAGGGGCCTGGGTAGGAGTCTCTTTGCGTGTCCTTCACGTTGTACTCTGCGGTCATCAGAAAGCCAGGAGGTGGTGCCTGGAGGAGGAAAAATGTGGAGCTAGCCACATTATTTTCAAGCAAATTTAAAATGTGATGTCGCTGGAGAGGCTTCCTTGACCTTTCCTTTTTGACTTCTCTTCCCCTTCACCCCACAATTCAGGCAACTTGGCAGTTTTTAAATTCTGAAAGTCAGCTGTGCAACGAGGTGGACACAGCAAATAGAGATTGTTTCTTCAGTGGTCAGAGTGGAATTAAAGCCACTCTCTGCCATCCTTCCCTGTCCTCAGAGTGGTCCTGGGCACGATCTAGCCAGTGCACTTGCACTGAGTACCAGGACCACACCTCAGTGAGCCACAGGCCTAGGGACTTCTGGTTCCCATGCAAAGTAAAAGAGACCTGATTGTGGGCTCTCTGGTGCCTTTCTTCATGCTGGGGTGTGTAAAAGAGAACCTCTTGTATGCAGTTGTCTTTCTCTTTTCAGCTAATGGCGTGTCTTATTGACACCTCCAGAGCAAAATCTTAGCAAGTATTTGTATTTTAGAAAACCTTGCTGTAAAGAATATGTTGGAATGTGACTAATTTGAAATGCTGGTACCAGTGGACATTATCAATTAAACTGATAGATAAAGTAAAAAATAAAATATCACAGTCAGAAATCAGAGAAATTGACACTAGATGAATTTTAAAAGAAAAGGGGAGACAGGGATGGAAGAAGGGATGGATGGATGGATAGAGAGGGAGAGCAATACCACGACATCCTAGTTTGTTTACTCTCATTAATTTGTAAGTTTGAGATGAGCTTTCTTGCAGCCAAGGTGAAAATGGAAATGTGGTTAACGAGATAGCCAGTAAGAAGAATATATGTGAATTCCTCAGCTCTCATTGTCATGGAGCAAGAACTGATTCACAGCTGACTTTCCATTGGGTTTCTGAGGCTGTAAATCACACAGGAGGACATTGCCCATCTTTCCCCTGCAGGACTGGTGGTGGAACCCAACCACCAGAGAGACACAGCCTTGGGGTTAAGAGTCCAACTACCTGTGGGCAGGGATTTAAATTCAGCATTGATGACAGTATACCCAGTTACATCCAGATGAGGAGTCGTATTCAGGTTGACACAGTCTAGACAATACAGTTCTGGAGCAACAAGACCATTGGGTCAGAAAGGGCAGCACCCTCGGTACAGCTACACCATCCAATATGACTGGCCGTATGTGGCTGGTTATCTTTCAGTTAATTAACATGGAACACGATTTTAAACTTCTGGTTTCTCAGTCACCTCAGGCAGATTTTGCAGCCACACACATGTGGTTTGTGGCTCCCATATTGGACAGCGCAGTTATAAAATATTTCAATTATTGCAGAAGCTTTTATTGGGTAGCACTTAACTAGAACACAGTCTTGCTAGCTGTAAGAAGCTGTGCTGCCAACTCGAAGGTACGTGGTTCAAACCTACCAGCTGCTCTGCATGAGAAAAATGGACAGTCTCCTCCTGTGTGATTTTACTGTCTCTGAAAACTGCTGGAAAGTCAGTTATGGGTTGGTTCCAACTCATTGGTACATAATAACAACAACAACAGCAGCAGCATAATGGTAATGCTTTAGGGAACTCTGATGGCATAGTGCATAGGGAGCTATGCTGCTAACCCCAAGATGATGTGTCTCTGGAGGTTCAAGTCCACCAGCAGCTCCATGGAAGAAAGATAGGGACCCCCTGCGAAACCTGCTGGAGGATCAGCTGGGCGTTGGTTCCATCAAAACAACAATGAATTGAATGGATAATGCTTTCAAATATCAGGGATCAGGCATTAAATATCACGGCCTGCAGGGAGGGGGGTTTCTCTCAATCACTGTCTGGTTCCTTCTGAAGTCGTGGAGATGAGTGTCTTGGGGTGTGGCTGTTGCCACCCTAACTGCCTGTTACTTGGGGTGGTGAAGACTGTGTTAATGTGCTCACCTGCTAACTCCAAAGCTGAAGCTCTCAGTTCACTCAGTGGGGCCCCGGAAGGAAGGCATGGCCGTTGACAGCTGGCAAAGCAGCCATGGGACCCTAGGAAAAATCATTCTAGCCTGGTACCCAGGGGCTCGCTGAGAACTGGAATTCACTCAAAGGCAGTAGGTTTGATCTCTCTTTTTAGTTAAGGCAGCGGATA